CTCCCCCTCCAAGGTAAGGCCATTAGGTTCAGGTCTTCAATTTCCAAAACACTCTGGGGACCTTACTCCTTGTGTGTAACAGTTAGGCTGAAAGTAAAAGGTGGTCTAGACACTCCCTAGGAGACAAGGCAGGGCAGAGAGGAGGCACGTCGCCAGCTCCTCTTCCCTGACCCCAGATACGTACCATGCCAGGCTTCAGGGCCTCCGCACTCAGCACTTTGTTGACATTTTGGGGGTTCAGAGATAGCTTGACACTCTTTTTGCCTTTCTCTGTGATGCCCAGTCTGCTCACCACACATCTCACTAGCATCCCAGGAGAGAACAGTTCAGGCAAGCTGGCCAGGTCCTGCATAATAAAATGAGAAAGCCCTGGTACATATTCTTTCCCTGAACCAAGAATCCACTGCCCAGCCCAGTGATTTCTTAGCCTCAGACCCCAAGGAAACCAAAAAAGGATGAAGACAGTCAGCACTTGCTCACAAAAGGAATACGGGTCTGTGGCCAAGTCACAGTGGTGAATTTCAGCACAAAACCTCCAAATATCTTATCAAAATGACTGGTCAAAAGAGTTGTCTACAAAGATCAAAGGGATAATGGCCAGAGGGGAGGAGAGTGAAAGAGGGGTAAAAATGGTGAAGGGGAATATAGTCAATAGTATTGTGATAAGTTTGCACAGATGATTTTTAGAATTAGTGGGGTAATAACACTGTAAGCTACAAAAATGTCAAATCACCTGAAACCAATATACCTGAAACCAATATAACTATTATAATACTGTACACCAACTACCCTTAATTAAAAATTTCCTATTATAAACTGTCATGGCACCTTGTACCTTTTCTTCTTAGCCCTCAACAAAGTTGTAATCTTGCATTTATTTGTGTATCACTTATTTCCCTTACCTTTAGAGGTTCTTCTTGCTCCACCTGCTCATTCAGTTTTTTTGTGTAAGCGTCACTGATTTCAGTTACTTGCACAAACCCCTGGAGGCCATTGGGGAGACTAATCACCAGTTCCAGTTCATTTACCTCTTTCACACAACCCAAAATCCGCATCCCCTCACACAGGGACTAGAAGAGAAAAAGCAGAATCAGTACAATAAGGAAGAGAACAATGAATGGGGATGTTAGAGGCGGTCTGGTTTCTAGTCTTAACTCTAACATACAAAAGCTACTAGAGGTACATAAGTGTATTATGTCAATGCACTCAATTAAACATCGGACTGAGCACCATAAAAGATTTAAGTTATACAACAATGTTAACAGTACTAGGGTGCTAGAGGGCACTTTCACCTTTTTTAACTTTATCTCAACCCACCCAACCTCTCCTGACAGGCAACAAAATGAAGGAAGCAGGCCAGGGGGGATAATAGCTTTCTAGAATGTGTCAATCACCTTCAAATTTTTTGTGTTGTCATCACCTTCAAATTTTTACAAGAAGCCAGAAATCACATTTTTATGTGAAGTTTTTTAGGCTTCTAACAATGGCACCATGGTTAAACAATTTTCAAAAAAATTTTACAGTACAAACAAAATACTTCTGGTAAGCTGAATCTGACTCCCTTCGGAATCATTTAATTCCTCCCCCCCCCTTTTATGACAACTAACATATATGTCAGTCACCTAAAAATTTAAGGAACATACGACCACTTCACTTCTTTGAGATAGTTTCCCTATCTATGAAATGAAAGAATAGAATCAGAATGATTGCTAAATTTATGGCCAGTTCTAACCTACAAACCTATGAAAAAATAAGTCCCATGAGGCTATCAGCAGATGAGCTGAAAAGAAAACTATCAAACAGACAATACATGATACCAGGCATTAATTAATAATAGAAAGAAATGATGTTCAATTCTGGGCACAAACTGCAAGAATCTCTATAAACACAAGTCATATATACACATATGTATATTTATGAATTAAAGAAAAAAGGAAGCAAGAGTGAAGGAAGGACATATACAAACTTAAGCAACCCAGGTACTTAGTTTAAAATAAAACCAAACTTTAACAAACCTCAATACTAAGGATTTCAAACTTCTCTTTTATAGACTTGCTGCTTTCTCTCTTTTCAATTTTCAACTTTTTTGTTTTTGCTGGTCCTTTCTGGCTTTTTTTCCTTTTGACGGATTCCTCTTCAGTAGAAATCTAAAGGTGAAAAAAGGCCCCAAAGAATAAAAAGAAGCAATCCTGGCCTTTCCCTCCAATTTCAGGTCATCTGTCATCTTACTCTGTTATTGCTCCACTCCACCCCAATCCTAAATATTCCTTTAATTCCTACTTCAATCCAAAATTTCACATTTTGTTCCCAATGCTCCCCTTGTCCAAAATCTGCCTTTCATGTTCCCCGTGTTCTTCCTCCCTTGACTTAGGACAGACGGTGGGTCCCCCAAAATAAGAAGCAAATGGGAATAGTGCATGAATGGAAAGTGGAGTCACAAAGACCAAGTTAGTAAACTCCCAATTCCACCATAACAAGCTGTGTGGTTTCAGCTCAATTATATAACCTCTCAGCCTGAGTTCCTCATCATAGAATAACAATCTCTATTTCATAGAATGATCTCTATCTCATAGTATCTTCGGGAAGATTATATAAAATAAACATAAAGCCTTACAATTAAATGTTAGTTCCCTTCCCTCCAGCATTTAGAGCACGGATTACTGTAGGTCAGTGTTTCCCAAAGTGTGGTACGTGTACCCCCAGGGGTACGGGAAATTTGGTGGGGGTACGCGTTGCACCGGAGTTTGGTGGGGATATGCACTGCACCGTGCTTAGCTGTGCCTAATTCTACATTCTCATGAGTACGAGGGGTACTCAGCATTACGAAAATTATAGGAGGGGTACACATATGTCAAAAGTTTGGGAAACACTGCGTTGAAGACTATGAATTCTAATGCAAATGCTGACCTTTATACCAATATGTGGCTGCAAGGGCCCCACTAAAAAATACAATGATCAAATCCTCTCCCTCCATCCTTTATCAACACCACACAAAGTTCCTAAGAATAAGGAACAAGACCACTGCAAACTCAAATACTAACTGCCATGCTTCAGAAGATATAGTCTTGTGGTGGTACAGACTCTCCAACATGTTCAATTTACAAATACAGATTTCAAAAAGAAACAAATCTGAAAAATATTCTCAAACAAGGCTCATTCTTTACAAAAACACTACAGAGAAAGTGTTCAGTGACTCTCAACAAGTGTTATCACTTACATCGAATAAGTTGTCTTGTTCAACTGACTGCTGCAACGCTGTCTCTGATTTGTGGGTCTTCCTTGTACCCCCACGGGGGAAGCTTTCTTCCATGGTTGCCATGTTTGGGTCTCCTGAAACAATGCAAAGAGTTACCAGGAGATGTAACCTGTTAAGATTACATCAATGGGCAGAAAATGAGGCTTCAAGCACCAATGTGCTAGACAGCATTCAGGACCAAGGAATAGATGGTTTGATGCCAGGCCCCAGGTAATATACAATTCATCTTTCCAAAGATCTCTCCTTCTAAAATAAAAAATCCAGCCGAAACCGGTTTGGCTCAGTGGATAGAGCGTCGGCCTGCAGACTGAAAGGTCCTGGGTTCCAGTCATGGGCATGTACCTTGGTTGCAGGCACATCCCCAGTAGGGGGTGTGCAGGAGGCAGCTGATCGATGATTCTCTCTCATCGATGTTCTAACTCTCTATCCCTCTTTCTCTTCCTCTCTATAAAAAAATCAATAAAATATATATTTTTTTAAATCCACATTTTTCCCCCAAGGAAATTATAAATTCAATGTATCATTAAGCAGCTACAGTTAAGTCAGAAATACACAAACAAATATATAAACCCCTACCTTCAAAGAACATCAACACTTTTAAGAAGATAAAATATGCAAACAATTTAAAATATAAATCAGATTACAAAAATATATATATATCATCAAAGTGGTAGGAAATGGTGAGGCATCAGTAAAGGAGGCAAGCATCCTAAAGAAGTGCTTTTGAGCTACATGTTAAAGAGGAACAGGAGTTTGACAGGTGGAAAGGGAAAAGCAGAAGGAATGTGAGAAAAAGCATGAAAACAGAAAGTCAATTATTTCACTGACCACCAGATATTTATCAAACAATTGTTTCAAAAACCTGCTGTTCCCTTTCAATGAAGGATTGTTCAACAGGGCTGATAAAGCATAATAACTGCAGTTAAATTTTAAAAGACAGAGTAGGCTTTTCATGGAAATTAGAATAACTGCTAAAGTTAGAATAAACAGAACAGTTTGAATGGGGAAGGGGGGAAAATACACTGCAGACTACAGATTGAATAGGAAGACAAAACTGAGGGAGGGTTGGTAGGACTCAACGGAGACACCGTGATAACTAGAACGATGTCTAAGTGAGAACGGGAGACCGAAGGGATTGGGAAGATCGAAGGTTCCACTTGGGAATAAGAATCTAGGAAGGCTTGCGATAGTAGCTGCGGTGACGACCGAGAGGGAGCCGAGGATCAGGAAAGGATGTTGTGTTTCGTAGACATAGGAAAGTGCAGTCTAGACTGCGGAGAACTTGACCCGTCATCTCATTTCTGTCAAGGAGGGGAAACTAGAGCTTCAAAGAGAGAGGCCATCGGGTGGCAAAGAAGGGGCGTAAGGTATACTTCCCGGGGACAGAGCGTGATGTCACAGGGGCCATTCGAGCTCCTGAGCCCGGCAGGGGTGGTAGGATCACTCATCCGGCATGGCAGGCACCCGGGGGCCTTGCCCTGGGGCAGCCCTGGGAGCCACCAGGTTTCCTCCCCTGTAGCCTTTGCCCTCACTCACCAGCCTCGGACGCCAGCCAGCCAGCCTCAACTTCGGAGGCCCGCCACTGTGGTCACACGTGCGTGCGGAGCCCCGGGACAGCCCGAGCACCGGCTGCGCTTCCGGAAGTGTGGGCGGGCTCAATGCCCTACTTCCGTTATTGTGAAGGGTCCTGGCAACTGTGAAGGGGGAGGAGATTTAGACACCGGAAGCGGAAAACCGGGACTTGGAGCCGTAGCCAATCGAGTCGTCGCTGAGGCCCGTGGACCGAGTGCGGGGGAGGGGACTTCTTCCGGCGGGGCCCAGGGGGGAAGCTTCGTACGTTGAAGGACACTGCCTGCGGAGTTCGTGCTTTTGAGCGAGGTGGGTGTGGAGAGGATCCTGGGCTCGGACCTCGCGCCCCGGCTTGGCGGCAGCCTGGGGTCCGACCGTTCCTAGTCCGGGAACGCTGCGAGGTCTTCGCCTGGAGGGGCGAGGGCGGTGGGGGGAAGAGGGGGATGGGAAAGGAATTTGAGATCACGAGGCGTGGCGGTGCCAGGGGTCCGATGTTGGCCGGGCAGCCGCGGGGAGCGGCCAAGAGACGCCCCCAAGAGCTCCCGAGGGCCCTTAGATTGCGCGTTTCCGTGGGGAAATAGGAGGCCCGCAGCGAATGGAATCCCCCAAGGTCACACGGTGACGTACTGTTGGGTGAGAACTTGAGCTTCTGACCCCACCTCTGGCCGAATTAATTCCTTTTCCTGTGGGCATTCTGGTGTCCGCCGCGCTGTGCTAAGGAGGCCTGCCAGCCAGATCTCCGCCTTTGTCAGAGCGAGCGGCTGAGCGCGCGGGGCCCGGCCCTGGCCGCTCTCCGGGGTTAGAGTTAGACTCCCGGATGCTCCTCCAGCGGGAAGGCCTTTCCCAGGAGCGGCCGGACCGGGCATTGTAAATCCTGGAAGTGCGGGAGGCTGGTTCTGGTACGTGAGCGGCTCTCGCGCTGCTTAGCTTTTTGCTTCGTGATCTCACCATCATCCCAGGTAGGTAGGGGTCCAGTCAGAGAGGAAGGTATGAGGATGGAAAAACAGAAAGTAGCTAGGGCAGTTCATCAGTCACCGTGGGCCTTTCCCGAAATGCTCATTTTACAGATGAAGCGAGAGAGGCATGGGAGAGGATTGATTATACTTGATAGCTCTATTCCCCAGTTAATTACAAAGAGGAAGACTCTGTTGCTTAGACCTCCTCACAGACTGCCGTTTAACAAATAGTACCATTATTCTTAGGTAATTGTCTCCGTCGTTAATAAGTCTTTCCAAATGTAAGTATTACTCGGAAGGAAAGCAAATTTCAGTCCAGTTATCATTTCACGAAGGTTTCTGACCTTTGCCCAAAAGGAACCAGCAGTTTGCTGAAGACTGCAGTGTTTCCAGGCTTTGGTCCCATTATTTATCTCGCCAGCAACATCCCATTTTCCACTCTCTGCTCCATCTTAGCCTCTCGAGTCTTTAAAACCAAGACCAAATTGCAGTCCCTATATCATGCTGTCCAATCGGAATTAGTCCTTTGTGGACGATCACAAATGTCAGCCTTTGTCCCATACTATATAGATGGATTTTTAAAGCACCTTAAATCTTTACAGTTGAACAATTTCTAAAATCTTTTTTAAAAATATATATTTTATTGATTTTTTACGGAGAGAAAGGAAGAAGATAGTTAGAAACATCGATGAGAGAGAAACATCGATCAGCTGCCTCTTGCACACACCTCACTGGGGATGTGCCCGCAACCAAGATAGTTGTCCTTGACCCGATCAAACCTGGGACCCTTCAGTCTGGAGGGCGATGCTCTATCCACTGAGCCAAACTAGTCAGGGCCTCCTAAAATCTTTTGTTGGGCGCAGGTAGTGGGGATTATCAGTTAATAATTTGACAAAGTTAAGTCCTTGTTTTTAGTAGGGTTTCTCCTGGAAATCTGCTTGAATTTAAAATATATATACATATAAGGTGAATGTAGTGGGGGTGGGGAGGAAGTATGCTTTTAACAAGTTTAGTAAAATGAAGCAATATAAAAGCTTCACCATAAAGGTTTCTTTTAATGGAGATGTTCCTACTTGTGCTCCAAGAACGTTCTTTTTTATTTTTATCTTTTTTATTTTGTTGTTAATTCTCACCTCAGGATATTTTCTCTTTGGTTTTTTTAGATAGTGGAAGGGAGGTGGAGAGAGAGAAACATCGATTTGAGACATACCCATTGGTTGCCTCCCCACACACCCCAGCAAGGGTCAAGGATCAAGCCTGCAACCAAGGTACATGCCCTTGACTGGAATCGAATCCAGGACCCTTCAGTCTTGAGGGCTGACACTCTATCCACTGAGCCAAAGGGGCTAGGGCTCCAAGAACGTTCTTGAAACAATTCAAAATTAAGGTCATTTGTCCAAAATTTTCATTGCCAATTCTGTGCACGAGAATGCCCCTGAAGGCCTTTAAATGGTAAACAAGCGTGCCAGTTTCCATAGCAATGACTTCCTCACAGATGTCTCCCTCTTCCATTTCATGAAGAGCCAACTATATCACTGCCACTGCCTACCAATCTCGACCGGACCTCGACCGGCTCGTCTATGTTGCCAATCGACTCGGCGTGGCGTCGGTCGTGGTAGATAGGTGGTCATACATACGAACTTTCAAGTGTTGTTCTGGTGACCTTTGAATGTGCCTTTGCTGCTTTTATTATAAGAGAAATAGGTGTATTTGTAAAATACGTGGGTGCCATAGATACCACTCTAAAAGTTTGCTTTTATTTTTTTCCATTGTTTCCTGATACTGCAGTTTTTTTTTTCAAACTTTAACATATATCAGAAACACCTATAAATAAGGCTTATTAAAATGGATTGCTGGGCCCCAGAATTTCTGATTCAATAGGCTTGAGGTGTAGGGCCTGACAATTTGCTTTTCTAACAAGTTTCCCAGTAATGTAAATTCCTGGAGAACAAATGAACCAGCTAGACAAACGGGTATACTATTTTTATAATAGGCATTGCAAAAATGCACTTTAGGAAGTTGTACCAGTTTACACTCTAGGTAACAAAGAAAATGTTTATTTCCCAACAGTCTTATTACTGCTTATTATCATAATTTTTATCTTTGCTAGTCTGCTAAATATGGTTTCATTTTACATTTCTTTGATCTTAAGGTTGATTACTCTTTTTATGTTTTGCCCTTTTGTTCTTTTTCTTTTTTAATATATTTTTATTGATATCAGAGAGGAAGAGAGATGGAAGAAGAGGGAGATAGAAAAAGAAACATCAATGATGAGAGGGAAACATTGATTGGCTGCCTCCTACACGCCCTCCATTGGGGACCAAGCCCGCAACCCGGCCTGTGCCTTTGACCAGAATAAAATCCAGGACCCTTCAGTCCACAGGCCGACTGCTCTATCCACTGAGCCAAACTGGCTAGGGCTGTTTTTTTATTTCCTTGACCTAAGATGATTAAAATATTTGCCCATGCCAAAACCGGTTTGGCTCAGTGGATAGAGCGTTGCCCTGCGGACTGAAAGGTCCCGGGTTCGATTCAGGTCAAGGGCATGTACCTTGGTTGCGGGCACATCCCCAGTAGGGAGTGTGCAAGAGGCAGCTGATCGATGATTCTCTCTCATCGATGTTTCTAACTCTATCCTTCTCTCTACCTCTCTGTAAAAAAATCAATTAAAAATAAATTGCCCATGTTTTCTAACAGGATTTTTTTTGTTTTCCCTCTCCCCCCTTTTTTTTTAATCCTCACCCAAGGATATATGTATTGATTTTAGAGAGAGAGAAAAGAGCAAACATCAATGGATATATTTATTGATTTTAGAGAGGGAGGAAAGATTGAGGGGGGTAGCGATCGACCAGTTGCCTTCCTTATGCATCCCAACCTGAAGCCAAACCCACAGCCTTTGTTTTACAGGACCATACCGATGCTCCAGCTAACTAGCCACCTGGCCAGGGCTGGCTTTCACTATTTACATTTAAATCTTTTATCTGTTTTGGTGTAAGGAATAAGGATCCCAGCTTCCCTACCACCATCAGTTACTATGTATCAACTACATTTAGTAAATGATTTCTTAAATTATAAGAAAAATTGTAAAGGAAGGGTTCCAAGTTTAGCTGTTTACTGGTGGTTACCCTTCTGAGAAACTGAAAAGTTTCACAAGGTCTAACCTTTGTCTAATTTTAAAACAGATTAATTTTTAAAAACCTGATTAATTCCAACTACATTGTACCATGCTATAGATAGAGCCAGAATGGAAAACATCAAGCAATATTGCAGTAGGCTTAGAGACTGTTCTTTTCCTATGCCCAGTGATTTGACATATATTCTGGAGTGTTGTGTAAAAGCAACCAAAGTAAAGTTCTCCTTCCAAAAGTTTCTCTTACCAGCAAGGCTTTTTTCACCATCTTTGCTAATGCTATGTTGGGCAAGACATACATAAAAATTTCGATATTTATATACAGTGACTTTTCAGATTTTTAAACTAAAAAAAAAAATGTGTTTTTAAAATTGAATCCAAATCAATTTATTGTTGCCTTCTTTCTTTTTTGTTTTTAAAGATTGAAATCATGGCAGGTCCAGAATCTGATGCCCAATTCCAGTTCACTGGTATCAAAAAATATTTCAACTCTTACACTATCACAGGTAGAATGAATGTAAGTATTAAAGCTACCTTTACGCCCTTAAATTTTAGAATTATATAAGTGTGACAGTATATCCTCTTTACTTCTTCATTCTTTTTCAGTGTGTAATAGCCACATATGGAAGCATTGCTTTGCTGGTTATGTACTTCAAGTTACGGTCCAAGAAAACTCCAGCTGTGAAAGCAACATGAAAAGTAAGGAGTTGACATTTTAGCCATTTTAGTGTTACAGTATTTTTCCTTGGCTATAAGAGTAAATCATTGTCATGTGGGTATATGATTTATTTTATAGAGGAAATGTGTCTGCTGTTAGATTTTGTTCTAATATAAATAACATTAAAATCAATACTTTTGAGCATGAAGTTTATATCTATGATTGTTTCTGAGGCTGAAGTTTGTTTCCCAACGTGTTCTGGGACACCCTGCTTTGTAAGAGTTGTCTCTCTTGCCCCATCCAAAGCTGAATAATACCAGTTTGGGGTTTTTGTTAATTTGATGAGTAAAAATAATCTTTTTTATGAAGCTGTGCATTTTTTTTGTATTTGCTTACCATATGTATTTTTCTTAACATTCTTTTTCATGTGCTTTACTCATTTAAAAATTGGGACTTTTGTGAAGACCTTATTTCTCTCATATAAATTCATTATGTAATAATTATTAACCAGCCTTTTAAATCAGTCATAAATATATGGGTTTGTTTTTTGTTTTTGTTTTTTTTTGCTAGTGTGCTAGTTTCAAGGTGTCCTTTAAATCATTTTTTATTTTTCAATTAAAGTTGACATATATAATATTAGTTTCAGGCATACACCACAGGGATTAGACATTATATAACTTATTAAGTGAACATCCTAGGAATCTCATACCTATATGACACTATATATATTGATTAGAATATACTATTCTATGCAATACTCTGCATCCTCGAGATTTATTCTGTAGCAACCAGTTTGTACCTCTAATCTCTTTACCTTTTTCATCCTCTTCCCATCTAGCAAACATCAAAATGTTTTCCATATTTGAGTCTGTTTCTTTTCTTTTTTATTTTGATTTTTTAGATTCAGTCATTGATATGTATTGTCATTTTATTGTTCATATTTTTTATCCTTAAATTTTTTTTTACAGAGAACTCTTTAACATATTATATAATACTTATTCTGGTGAGGAACTACTTGAGCTTTTTCTTGCTGGAAAGATCTTCATATGTCCTTTAATTCTGAATGATAATTTTGCTAGGTAGAGTAATTTTTTTTTTTTTTTTTTTAAGATCATGACTTGGTTGGGGTTTTTTTTGTTTTTGTTTTTTAATATATTTTATTGATTTTATACAGAGAGGAAGGGAGAGAGATAGAGAGTTAGAAACATCGATGAGAGAGAGTCATCGATCAGCTGCCTCTTGCACACCCCCTACTGGGGATATGCCTGCAACCAAGGTACACGCCCTTGATGGGAATCGAACCTGGGACCCTTCAGTCCCCAAGCCAACGCTCTATCCATTGAGCCAAACCGGTCCCGGCAATAGAGTAATCTTGGTTGTAGGTTCTTGCTTTTCATCAATTTGAATATTTCTTTTTGTTTTCTTTTTGGGCATTTTGTGTGTGTGTGTGTGGGGGGGGGGGGTTGTTGTTGTTGTTGTTGTTATTGTTAATCCTCACCCAAGGATATTTTTCCATTGATTTTTAGGGAGAATGGAAGAGAGAGGGAAAGACAGAGAGAAACATCGATGTTAGAGAAACACATCAATTGGTTGCCTCCAACCAGGGCCAGAGCCCTAGGAGCCTGCAACCAAGGTACATGCCCTTGACCTGGTTCGAATCTGGGACCCTTTGGTCCACACGCTGATGCTCTATCCACTGAGCAAACTGGCTAGGGCTGAATATTTCTTGCCAATCCCTTACAACCTGCAAAGTTTCTTTTGAGAAATCAGTTGAGCTCCTTTGTAGGTAACTACTTTTCTCTTGCTACTTTTAAGATTCTCTCTCTGTCTTTAACCTTTTGTATTTTAATTATGATGTGTATTGGTATGGGCCTTTTTGGGTTCATCTTGTTTAGGACTCTCTGCACTTCCTGGTCTTGTATATGTATTTCCTTCACCAGGTTAAGGAAGTTTTCTGTCATTATTTTTTCTAATATTTTTTCAATATCTCTTGTTCTCTTTCTTCCTGTGGCACCCCAATGATGTGAATTCTGGTACATTTGAAGTTGTCCCAGAAGTTCCTTATAATGTCATTTTTTTGGATTATACTTTATTTTTGCTGTTCTGATTGCATGCTTTTTGCTTCCTTATATTCCAAATCACTGATTTAATTCTTGACTTCATCTGCTCTACTGGAACTACTTGTAAATTACTCATTTCAGTTAATTTATCCTTCATTTCTGACTGGTACTTTTTTTAAAGTATATTTTTTATTGACTTCAGAGAAGAAAAGAGAGGAAGACAGAGGTAGAAACATCAATGATGAGAGAAAATCATTGATCAGCTGCCTCCTGCATGCCCCACACTGGGGATCAAGCTCACAACCCCAGCATGTGCCCTGACTGGGAATCGAACCATGACCTCCTGGTTCATAGGTGACACTCAACCACTGAGCCATGCCAGCCAGGCTCTGACTGGTTCTTTTTAAAGGTTTCCATGCCCTTTTTTAATGCTGTTGGAGTGCTAAGTTCATTGAACATTGTTATAACCAGTATTTTGAACTCTGCACCTAATAGATTGCTTGTCTCCATTTTGTTTAGTTATTTTTCTGGAGTTTTGTTCTTTTCTCTCATTTGAAATACATTCGTCTTCTGATATTGGCAGCTTCTTTGTATTTCTATGAATTAGGTAGAGCTGTTTCATAGAGAAGCCTTATGTGCTAGGTGGCACAGTCTCTCCGATCACCCAAGCTGGGCACTCCAGGTGCACCCCCATGTGGACTGTGTACACCTTCCTGTTGTAGTTGAGCCTTCATTGCTGTTGGCACATCAATAGGAGGGACCCTGCAGCCCAATCGTCTGCAAGGACTGGCTGCAACTACCAACCACCATGGAGGATCAGCTATGCTGGGACCCGCCCCACAGAGCAGGACTTACTTCAGTGGGGTTCTAGTTCTCACTGAGTCTGCCTCTTTTTTTTTTTCTTTTTTTTAAATATATTTTTATTGACTTAAGAGGGAGGGGAGAGCATCATCAATGGTGAGAGAGAATCATTGACCAGCTGCCTCCTGCATGCTCCCTATTGGGTATTGAGCCCGCATGTGCCCTTGACCAGAATCGAACCTGGGACCTTTCAGGCCAATGCTCTATCCACTGAATCAAAACAAATAGGCCTGAATCTGCCTCTTGAGTGTGTTGCTTGTGGAAGTGGTTGCGTGGTGTTTTATCATGGTCTGAAGCTGTCCATTGAATGTGCTTAGTCTGGGTTCTTCAGAGTTGCAGGCCAAGGTCAGTCACTGCCTGTGTTCTGACTGCCACCTGTTTCTTGCCAGGGGCTCTCACCTGGCATGAGTTGCAAAACAGTCTGTAAATGACTATTTGTGTTGGTCTTAGAGGTGCCCAGGTGAGACCAACCTGCAAACCAGGGCTGTCTAATACTAGTGCCGGGCTTGGGGCCACTTAGAGAGAGGTATAGGGCACACTGAGGACAAATAACTGCTCATTTGAGATTTTTTAGCAAAGTTTGAAACATGAGCTAAGACAGTGGTCAGCAAACTGTGTCTCTCGAGCTACATGCAGCTCTTTGGTCCCTTGAGTGTGGCTCTTCCACAAAATACCACGTGTGGGTGCGCACATACACTTCAGAAACTTCATGGCCCAAGCGCAGAAGTTGTACTGTTGATATTTGGCTCTGTTGACTAATGAGTTTGCTGATCACTGAGCTAATACATGCCATTCATAGGGGAAAGACCCTGGAAGATGCCGAAACCAGTTTGGCTCAATGGATAGAGTGTCGGTCTGCGGACTCAATAGTCCCGGATTCGATTCCGGTCAAGGGCATGTACCCTGGTTGCAGGCACATCCCCAGTAGGGGGTGTGCAAGAAGCAGCTGATCGATAACTCTCTCATCGATGTTTCTCTCTATCTCTCTCTCTTCCTGTTAAAAAAAAAAAAAAAAGACAAGATCCTGGAAGCAGCTTTGGCGGGCCTTGTAGTTGGGTAGGGCAGGTCTTGAGGAATCACTAGGGCAAGGCAAACAGTGTGAACCAGGTTGACGGAGACTCGGATTTGGTCCCATCTGCTGACTTGGTTGGGGGATGCTCAGAAAAGGAACAATGGCCTCTGCCAGCACTTTCATCTGAAAGTGCTCTCAACTTGATCCCAACAATTCATTTCCTCTCCTTTTGTCCCTGGCATCTTTCAAGCTGCTATGATAGTACTGGAGTTCCGAGGAGTCAGAGTAAATCCATTGGGAGGCCCTTTAAGAACAACTGCTTGCCCTACCCTGTTCGTTCAATGGTTTGAGTGTTGGCTGGTGGACTGTAGGGTGGCAGGTTTGATTCTGGTCAAGGGCATGTACCTTGGTTGTAGGCTCCATCTCTGGGCCTCATTGGGGCACATGGGGAAGGCAACCAATATCTGTCTCTCTCTCACATTGATGTTTCTCTCTACTCCTCCCCTCCTCTCTCTAAAAATCAGTGGAAAAAATATCAAGTGAGGATTTAAAAAGAGGAACTGCTCTTAATTCTTTAGTTGTAAGACTTTCATTTAGCTAGTTTTCATATGGTTGTTCTGTAGTTTCATTGTAATTTTGATGTGATTGGTTTCAAGTTTTTATATAAACAGTTCTCTTTTCCTTAAATCCCCTTAGACTTCATTTGCTCCCAACTCCCATTTCTATGCTTGAGTGAACAAATATTTGTATTGGTAGTAAAAGTTCAAAAAACCAAAATACAGATCTTTATCCAATGTAGCTTCCCACCAATTCCTTCTGCTCTTAAGAGCTTTTCCAATCCTTAGGAGACTGAATATCCCAGAATGCAAATATAGTATTTTACTCAATTTTCCAGATTAGGTACCTCCTAATTCTGGGAGGGTAGTTGTAGCCTCATTATACATATGGAGAAGTTGTCTCAGATATTAAATAACAGATACATAATAGATAGCATACCTGTTTTCTACTGTTTAAAATGTTACTTTATATACTTGACTTTTGCCAATATCATACTTTTAGGATCATACTGAATAGTTGGCAGCTCTTTTGTTAAAAGTGGAGTGTTTGGTTAAATTGTATTAAGCTTAGATAAACCTTAATTTTGGGAGTTAGACTCCTTTGAGAATTTGATGTCAATTTGCAATCAATTTCAAGGGGTTCATGGATAGTCCCATACTGATAATTTGCTGAATGTCTTAAAAGTAGAATTGAACATGATTATGTCTAAACTATTTTTGCTTTATTTATAGGATTATAAACTGTACCTCATCTATTAATTTCCCATGCCTGGAGAAGCTAATGTCAACTCATCATGTGATACTCAATTTGTACAATAAATTATGAACCTGGAAAAGCTGGTTGTCTTTATTTACAAGATATCAAAAATATAAAAACTGTACAAAATGCAAAAAAGGCAAAATCTGGCAGTGACTTGGTCTGAATTTTAGTTTCCCAAAGCAAGGCTCAGTACTGGAGGTAAGCAACTGAAATGTCTGTCTGACTTCAAGTGTACAAGGTTGTGTATAGCCATTTTAGCTGAAGTAGAACATGGAAGCTAAATTTCTTCACCCAATTTCTAGAGTGGGTACACTCAGCATCTAACAGGTGTAAATTCAGATGTCAGTGGGTAGCTGTACTTCATCTTAGAAATGAATTGTATAGTTCACCCTACCCAGTTACACACATTCCACTAGTCATAGGCTACGCAAAAAAAAAAAAGTTAGATCATTTAACATAGTACTTGAGTGCCATACAGTAACTACATTTTTACAGCAGAAACAACATGCTCATAGGATTCTTCAGCTAAAATTCAAGATGGTATTATATTACTCAATTTGAATCTTGAAGCAGGATGAATTGTTGAAATCAATTGGGAGTTTTTCTAAACATAATAAATTAAGATAGCGTTTGAACAGAAAATGCATAGTTTCCACACATTCCAAAGCACCATAAATGTCCCCTCCACAAACATAATACCTCTTATTCAACTAACGGAAATTAGTTAAATGCAGTTGCTATAGAAACGTGGAACTCTTCTGTTCAGATTTTCCAAGCAGCATACTTCCAGATCCATATAGACAAAACATTCTTTGTAGCTTAAATATTAATCACTGAGGTATTTGCTTTTAGTCTCCCTTTTTCAAACAGTAGCTTCCAAAGGTCTTTAATACCGACTATTGCGGACTATAAGCTCCTGCAGCTAGAACCAAGTTCCTTCGAGTAAAATGGAGATGTACAACTGGTGTTGATTTGGTCATATATGTTCCCAACAGTAATTCCTGTGAATTCTCAGGTAAAGTTATATGCCCAGTGGCTGTAGTAAAGTCATCAGTCTCTAAATCTTCAAATGCTTTGACAGCATCCCATAACCGGACTGTATTATCCATTGAACCTAAGGAAAAGTCAAAGGAAATCATTGTGACATCTACCATATTTAGCTTCTGACATTTTGCCAAGTACACTTTATGTATTTACTGTATATTTCTGGTGGAAAATCTAAACCTGATTAACAACTCTATTCCTTCTAAAAGAGCATTTCAGGCAGTAGTTTAATGAGACAGGTCAATATACATATAGAGCAATACTCTGGAATCATAGCTAAGGAGAAGCAAAGCCTAAAACAGCAGGACTTAATTTTGCAATAGTCAACACTCATTGTTTTCTGTTAACACTCCATTTACCCTTTACCACAAAGCCATGTCTAGTCATTTACCTGATGCCAAAATTTCACCATCTCTACTAAACCTAAGAGAACAGACTGTATCGGTGTGGCCTTTTAATTCTCCAACCATCAAACCATGTCCAATATCCCAAAGGAGTACTCTGCCATCTGTTGCTCCTGTAGCCAGGAATCTCCCATTGGGAGAAAATGTCAAGGAATGAATTGGTCCCTAGAAAAGAAGTTCATGGGAAGAATCAAAATTAGAATTTCTAGTGTAGTGGTATGAGTAGTATCTAATAGAATATATGTGTCACTGGGTTTTTTAATATTTTTCTCAAACCTTGTGTGCTGGAATAATGAGGTAAAACTACCTTGTGTCCAGTGAAGATCCTTACACAGTTTCCATTCAAGACATCCCAGAGCCGCACAGTTCTGTCTGCAGAGCCCGTAGCAACATAATTAGAATTTGGGTGGAATCTGGTACAATTTACATCAGCAAGATGGCCAGCAAATATCCTTAAAGGCTGATAGTGGTCTGTGGCCCAGAGCCTTTTTAAAAATTTATTAAAAGCAAAAGATGATAATTAGTAGTTAACTACAAAATGCCACAATTATCCAAAATAAATACCCATGTGAAATGTTAGTTCCAAATGAGTCCCTCTCACCTGAAGGAAAGAAGGAATGATTTGAGACTAAATAGCATTCGTAAGAAACATGAAGTTGACCTGGTACAAATATAATTCTTGAGCTCTCCTCTTCCTGCTCCCTCTCCACCCTTCTATCCCATCCAACCCTAGTCTAATCTATAGGAAAGTTTTAGCCACCACATAGTTTCTAACCTGAGCTACTTCATCCTGAACTTTTCAGATGACAGGGAAATGGATGCTATAGTAGTAGCGAAAGACAAGGTTCAACAGTTAATTTAAAAAAAAAAGAGAAAACGAAAAAATATATTTAAAAAAAACACACACCTAAAAAAAAAGATTGTAAACAGCTGATGAGAGGCAGGGAAAGTATGTAAATAAGCTAACTTAAGGAAGAAAAAGGATTTAAACTCTTCATATAGATATAATTATAGACATAATACTCTTCCCAAAATTCATTTTCAAGTAAGGAGCTATAAATGCTGACATTCTCAAAAAGTTGATCCTGGCCCACTGGTGTGGTGTGGTATGGCTGAGCATCAACCTAGGAACCAGGAGGTCAGGGTTCGATTCCCGGTCAGGGCACATGCGGGCTGAATCCCGGGTGAGGTGTGGAGGTAGCTGATCCATAATTCTCTCTTATCCTTGATGTTTCTCTCTCCCTCCCTCTCCTTTCCTCTCTGAAATTAATTAAAAAAAAAAAAAATGTTGATCCTGAATAATAGAAATGAAAGTGAGTTTGGCTGGAGTTTTTAATTCCCAACAAGAAACCATTCTGTTCTTAAATAAACCCAGTTATAAGACCATAATGTACTTACCGAGCTACTCGGTCATGGCCCCCCGATACAAAATAATATCCATACGGAGAAAACTGTGTGTCCCAAACTGGATAGTTGTGTCCTTTATATCCCACTAAGCAAGTAAATGTTTGAAGACTCCACAATCTAACAGTTCCATCTTCTGAAGAGGAAAGCAGGTAGTTCCTGAGAGAAGAGAATATATTTGATTCCCAGAAAAACTTAGTTACCTGCCCAGTTTCTGTACATTTTAATATCTGTATCTATATTTATACAATATATATAAAAGGCTAATATGCAAAGTATCCTCACAGGAGTTCGACTGGAAGTTCTATTGCTTTCTATGATGTGTGCTGACCACCAGAGGGTAGTGTTGACCACCAGAGGGTGGTGCAGAACAAAGGAAGGCCCCAGATGGCAGCCAGAAGGCCCCAATCAGCCCTGATCATCGATCAGCCAGGCCTAGGGACTCAACCTGTGCACGGATTTCATGCACTGGGCCTTTATTAAATATGCTGACATATTGTGTCTTCTGATTTATACACAGTAGATCTAAGTAAAAAGTACTAAACAAACTAATGTTAGCTGTGATATTCTACATCTGAGCACCTACAGAATGAGATTTAAAAAAAAAAAAACTCAGTTTTTTATTTTAAAATGTAAATGCTATTTTCCTATCCTGTATGAGTTTTACAAGAATTTAAAAGGAATATTCTTTTGACACACACAAAGGCAAATACAAAAACACTGTAGGCATGTGAGTAATAATCTACCTTTTTTAGGGATAAATACAAAAGCTGAACTATTCCAAGTATTATGGTTTTCGCTGAAATCAAGTTTCCCTCAAGTAAGAATGTATCACCCTGCTAAACCCTATCAAACAACAAAAACCTCATTCTCAAAGGCTCATAAAGATGAAAATCTTGATGGATTAAAAGCTAATATCTATCCAAGTTAAGATACAGATGGTATGAATACAATATACCCTTCCCCCATTTCTACAGAATGTCAGATCATGAAAAATAAGCAAATACCGATTTATGGGTTACAAATTTTCTTTTCAGTATTCCCTTAGTCTTTTTGATTGTATAAAGATATAAATCTTCAATTAATAGCTAATAAGCCTTTAATCTCAGGAATCTTGTAAATTTAGAGATGATGGAAGGCAGCATTAGCCACAAACCCAAAGTAGGAACCCAAAGAAGCAATTCAAACTAGGAGTTATACTAAATGATTGTTGGGCAAACTGCGGCTCGCAAGCCACATGTGGCTCTGTGGCCCCTTGAGTGTGGCTCTTCCACAAAAATACCATGTGCAGGCGCGCACATACAGTTTGTGGCCCGTTCACAGAAGTCAGTTTTCGGTTCTCAAAGTTCAATCATTGTACTGTTGATATTTGGCTCTATTGACTAATGAGTTTGCTGACCACTGTACTAAACTAAAACTAATTTTTAAAACCAGCAAACCCTGAAGTCTATAAATTTGGGTATACATTAAGTTGCTATCTTTTACAACCAAAATGAATTAGCAAATGGCAAAATCTAAAAGATAATGATTGACAGGCAGATTTTTCTAACAAAAAATTTCCTAACATTTGTATGTTTCCAGTAAATTTTTATACAAATTAAATATAATACCGCAGTACTTAATTTTACTGTTCATACTTTACCTATCTGGACTGAAGCTGGCTCCATAGACAGGCCCACTGTGACCATACAAAATCTTTAATTCACTTGCTGTTTTCTCATCCATGATTCTTTCTAAGACATCATCTGATTCTTTGTCTATGAGGCTAAGATCTGAAATGGTCCAGAAATACTGATTTTTAAAAGAACATTCATTAAAACATTTTAAGGCAATTACTTCACAGTTCAGAAGAAGAACATTTGAACAGTTCTTCTGGCATACCACCCACTGTGCAAATGCCTCTAAATTAGGTGATACTATTCCAGTGTATAGCAGAGGAAACTGAAGTTCAGAACAGTTAATAATTTGCCAGAGTGCACACAGCTAGATACTCAATGTTGGACCTAGGACTGAAACAAGTTATCCACTATATCACAATGTTTCTCAAAAATGAAAACTATGGAAAAATTATTAAAAATGTATTACCTTGTTTAATAGGATAGCAAGGAAGAAACTTTTAAAATGGAAGTCCTGTTTTTTGTTTTGTTTTTTAAAAAATATATATATTTTATAGATTTTTTTTACAGAGGAAAGGAGGACAGAGCTAGAAACATCAATGAGAGAG